AAGTAATAAATTAGATATTACTAGACCTAGTGACAGGTAATTTTAGTTGACCTCATTTTCTCTGCATGACACCGCATACTACTGACTTACTGGTTGATATGAGTAGTCAGGTACCACTCATATCAATTATCTTGAATTTGCTTGCAAATTAGCAGTTTGATTTCGTTTTCACTGATTCTCTGCCGGATACTGATAGGCAATGAAAGTGACTGTGAATTCATTTAGATTCCAGGTGTCGGTTTGATTTGGTAATTTATTCCATTTAGTGTTTTTCAATTAATCACTTACAAAGTGATGGCACCATAAAGTGTATAGCACTGAGATCAGATGTGTAATTCTAAGCATTGGAAAAAGAGATCGTAAGTATGATTGCAATTTTTTTTAATTAATTGAACTAGCTTGAATCAGTGTTATTCACACCGAATCATCACTTAATTTAATACTCAGTGATGAATCATTTTTTGAAAGAAAGGCCAGGCAGCTCATAAATATGAAATTTGCTAATGATTTTACAGCTAATGAAAAGTATTAGATTCACTGATAGCTTAGGAATTAACTTAAAATCTATCATTAGTGAAACAGTTTGCCATGCCAGTTTGACATCCTCGATATCAGTCAGTTTTATAATTGTATTCTCCAAATGTCTATTAGTGAAGTATCATAAACTGAACACAGATTCAATTGGATTTATCGTTCAAATTGTTCCAGGGCATGGGTATTTATAAATGTTAATTTCTTCTTAATATTACTGTCCTGCAAAATCGTGTTTATATGTTTATGGGATATGGGAATTGAGCTTCAGAATTATGATAGAGTGTATTTCCATAATAAAGTGATTTTACTTGGTTGGTCGGGACTAGCAGCAGAATTCAGGACACGCGTTTCATCCTTTTTGGGACTTTTCGACTGCTGGGTTTGAGTCTCAGTAAGACTCCCCAGGAATTCAGCTATACTCAGTTGATGAGCCCCAAGTTTGGACAAAGAAGGCATCCGGAATTCAACTTCTAGTTAATACTAATCACGTAATATCAAGTTTACCTCACAGTATCGCCTAAGTGTCCTCACTACGAGTCATCGTGTCAGCGGAGACCGAGTGTTTTGGCCCAATATAATTCATTCAAAGAGAAATTCAAAATAACCTCAACAAATGTTTTCCTTGACACAATATAAAATCACCAGTTCTGATAAGCATGGAAACGAGATAGTACATGACCTCTGGGTTATGTGTCGGGTTTATACACGGTTGTTTAGTATATACCACAATCCCACCAGTAAGATTATTCTGCGTCACTGTACAGTATGTCTAATAAAACTGATCATGTGAGTTTTGCTTATTTGTTTATCACCCCCCCTCCTGTTCATATTACCTCATTGATTTAATAGTCTACAAACACTGTTCATGTAAGATCTTTCCAACAACACCAACAACAAAAGAAAAAATGTCTGGAAACTAGAGGAAATACTACCAATTGTTAGATTAACAGAAATGAGAATAATAATAATAACTATTATTGATTAATGCCAATTAATTATTGCTTTAATTTTAAAGAACTTGTATAATCTTCATTATTATTCTATTTCTTCTTCTATAATACTCAGTTGTTTTATTGCTCATGTAAATTAGGAATTGGGATACTGAACAAGCGAACCAGCAAAAACAAAAAAAACAATACACCACTGATTAAATGAGATGTTGTATGGCATTTATATCAACTTGTAGGGCTTGCTAGTTAGACCGAGGTGATTTACACACCAGACGACTGCTTCGCTCGTTTCTGGTCGAGCTCATCAACAATACGTTGGTGGCACAGCGGTACAACGCTCCCCAACCACGCTCTATGTGGTCCAGGGTTCGATTCCCAGCCACCGACGCACTCGTAAACCTTGCTAAGCCAGTAACAAGAATGGTAAAGTGGGAAGGTTGGGCATGAGGCTTTCAACTACATCCCGTAAGAAGAAACATCACTGCTATCGAAACTTCAAGCCTCTAACTTGAAGCCCCATGTTCCACTGGAAACGTAAAGGAATAAAAACAACAACAGCTAACCATCGCAATAAATCAGTAGTACGTAGTTGTATGCAAATGTGTTTGTTTCCTTAATTACCATTTTTGATATCAATCAGATCACATATTGTGATCCGAATAATTTGGGTTTCCAAAGGAAACTGTGATGAAAATTCACCCCTTAAACTGTGTACATTGTAAATTGCAAATTGTGAAAAACAACGTTTAACCAATTAACAAGTAAAACTTGAGCATTGTGGTAGAATATAATTCCATATTAGATAAGTGATCATCCATTATTAATGACTAGATCATGTTCCTAGTATTATTTATTGATACTCATCATCATATCAGTGTAATCATGTAATTTTATGATTTGCTTCATATACTTTCATCTCCTCTCTGATTTCGATATCCAATATAGACGTTGCGTCATTTCATTTGAACGTGTTTGATGTTGATTCGAAGAACAAAGATTCGGTGGTTAACCTCTATTTCCATCTTTTTATAGTAGATTTTAATACTTTTACCCTATCCCACTATGTTGTATGTTTACACGCAAGTGGATGCATTGTAATGATCGAACTTTTTCCAAATTACTTAACTTAGCAAGGTTAATCAGTCTAGCACTAATTGAATTCCTTTGCTCCGATAAGCTAGCTGAGCCTAATCTACTAGTCTTACCTATATAAATGACCTCATAGTCATTACTTGGTATTTGGAAAGTTATATTATACCATTATCAATGGATATCAATTACAGAGTCATTGAAAACTGAGAAATACGGGACAGACGTTTCATTCTAGTTTGGAACTCTCTAACATCGAGTAGACGGGACCAAAAGAAGACTCTAAGTTTATATTTACCAACCTTCTTTTACATATCTTTATTTATCCAGCTATACTTAAACATTCACTTCACTCTCCATTAGTGGTCGAAACCAGGACCTCCAGTTTACAAGGCTAACACGTTACTATTTAATTACCCCCTATGAGAATTCAGTGACTCATGAATTTTAACTTCTGTCGGTCGGCGATATATTGCCGTTGTTATTTAATATCGTCGGTGAGTTTCTATCTTCACAAACACATTTGACTTAAAAGATCCCATTCTTAAAATTGTAAGTGTATAGTTTCATTTTTGTTCATAAAAGTAACAATTCAACTATTCTGAAGCGAATCACACTCATTTACTTACATAACTACATTTGAACAAAAAATGTCGTAAAAGTAATATGATCACAACTCAGTTTCAGTTATATTTGTTGTAGTAATTATCAGACATTAACAACTATTTCTTCTGTGAACGTAATATGATATAATATAATATGTAGTTCCTAATATGGTAACCTCGGAAATAACTGTGATCACATTGTTATAGTAATGGAGGAATACTGTTCGGCGGATAGTGGGCTAGAAGTAGAATTCAAGATGCACATTTTGTCCTACTTGGGACTCACTGACTGGATGTGCCTGCAACCCCTAGTGAATAATGTGGTTTCCGCTAAGACTCAAATCTTGCACCTATTGTTTCAAACGCCAGAACACTATTCAGTAGACCACTGTCCACCAAATAACATCTTGTTAGTCCACAGATATTGTCGAAGCATCCATTCTAGGAAATCATTGGATTGACCCTAAGAGGGGTCGACAAGGACTGAACGTTTCAGTTCAGTATATTCAGTCAACGGGAAATACAAAATTAACACAGGTAATGTAATAAGCAATTCAGAATGAATGCTTTATGATATGTTACAATGTATTACTGTTAATGGATGTGCTCACCGAAATGCATGTATGTGTAAATAGGATGTTGTATCCACAGAAAAATAAGTTTTTTTGTATACTACCAGTCCATGAAATGTTTCAGTCATAGGTAATTGAAGTAATTTCCAAAGAATCAATTTCCTAACACTGAACATAATGATATTTAGGCTCTTTTGGTTTTGTGGACTTCATTACAAACTCACGTATGAGTCAGAGAATCACTGAAATCAATTAAAAATCCCTAAAATATGAGAATACCAGTCTCCAATTCATTATTATCTAGCGGACAGGTGCCTTGAAGTGGCCGACGGATACCACCAAGTCAGGTGTGAAGCAGATGCTCATCAGCTACATTGGCTGGTGTTAAAGATACATTGTGAATTGACAGCAGTTAAGATTTATGGGTCATTCAATCCGGGTTGAACCCTAAAGGGAAGCGACGAGTGGGACGTCCAAGGCTGACAAGGAGGAAATCGTGTAAACAGGAGTTGAAATAGTATGGAATAACATCCATGCAGGTGAAAAGTACGGCAGAAGACAGAAGCAAGTGGAGACGTGCAGTTGAAGCCCTATGTCCCACTAGGAACCCAAGGGAACAAAAATAATAATACAATCCGGGTTGATTGGCTTGGTAATCTATTAGTCTATATCGTGATATGAAGGTCCTAGGGTCACACTGTTGTGTGTATTACTGAGAAGATTTGTCAGATAGCAGACAGGTTGATTTGAAGTCAAAGAGAGCAAATGAACCAGTGTTGCAGGAAAGAATGGGGGACACGAAAAGGAGACAAAGAAACACATTACGAAGGGCAGAAGAAGCGCAACACGGAAGGTCTGTGCAAATGAAGACTTTCATATAAGGTGTACTTAATTCCTCTATATGTGTATACCAAATTCCAAATGAACATTCCGTTACCAAGTCTTCTGTCTTCTACCGGTAGAGCACTACAAAAGAGTCTGCAGCAAAGACGAAACACCCGTCCCATTCTCGATGGCTTGTAACGAATACCTAACAGATATCCATATACGATGAAATCTATATTTTGATTCATCGAAAATCTGTGCAATCCACCCGAAAATAATTCTTTCTAACACAAATAACAAAATTAAGAAATATTAGCGATTCTACATCACAGATTACCTCTTTGATCGCATTCTAGCTAAACACAAGTATACATTGGAATAAAATTGTAACAAAGTATCAGTTTCTTCAGAATAAAATCACTTACCGTCTGAAAATGAACCCGGTGATGATGAGAATAATATTGGATAGGTGGTGTTAATCGTCTGTGGATACTTTGTACAACTTTTGTCATTGTCATCAGTTTTAGTTGGTGAAGACACTTGGGAACTGAGGGAATTTTGGTTACTGTTATTTACTACATTAGTATTAATGGTATTTACTTCTGTATTGTGATTACCAGTATTATTATTATTATCACTATTATTATTTGCAATAATAGATTCAATCGAAAAGGCTGAAGCTTTTCCAGATAATTTCAACGATGAACTGTTATGTCTTGTACTACGATGAATATCATGAATTTCTTCAGTGTCTTCTCTACTTATACTTTCATTCTTATGATCGATAGTAGTTGTAGGAGTGAGTGAAGTATCCATTTCACTATCGATTTTATCTCTATTCTTTTTCATACTTGTAGATATATGATTTTCAACTGACTTTTGTAATAATCCTTTCTCTGTATTATCCTTCTGATTTGATAACATTGAACACTTATTATTATTATTTTTAGTAGTAGTAGTAGTAGAAGTAGCCTTGTTAGTCATATGACTGTCCTTGGACGCTGATTGTGATGATGTTGAAGACGTTGAAGAAACAGGACACAAACGTTTTTGTTTTATTGATCTATGAATATAGTTACTAATCAATTTACGTTTGCTTGTTAACACATTCGATGGAGTTGATAACGTTGCCGGTGAAGAATGCAAATCTGTAACACGTAACATTTTATATTTATTTGAATGCTTGTAAAAACTGTTATTATGAGCATAGGCATACTTTATGGGATGTTTTATAACAGTCTGGAAAGTCCCTGATTTTGATGTTGTTGATACACCTGGTAAAGAATTATGTAAGATTTGATGATCATCTTGTAGAGAAGGACATTCCATATTTTTATTTATTGTCTGTTTCTTTAATATCATTAATTCTTCTTCTTCAGATACCTCTATACACGACTTATTTGCAGTACAAGAAGATAAGTGATAAGGTATCGCGTTAGATAAACACAGTGAATTGGTTGAATCAGCAGCAATGGACATGTAAAGGTATAATGATGTTAATAATAATTTAAGGTAATAAATGGCCTTCGTAAATTGTACTACTAATTATAATGATAATAATAATTTGATAGGATTGGTGAAAAATCCGGTACCCATATATCTGACGCTAGTTGTAGAAAGTTTGTGAGTGTGTGTATGTGTGTAAGAAAGAGCAAACTTGAAGGGAGGGCATGTTAAATAGATGGTTGTCTGTTAATTCCTTCCAACTAATTTTTCCTTTTAACTCATACCCACTATCGTCTTAACATCAAAATTTCTCTCTCTTTCTAACTTGTCGGCAAAGCTAAAACTTGCATATTTCCTCACTATTCCATTATCACTGTCTACACTGTTTTTCACCGGAATATTCTATTTTTCTGACCCCCTTTACTTCACACTTCATTCAGTCACTCTCTCACTCACACACTGTGTTTAAAATTCTAATTACAACAGTGTCTAGGTGTAAATATGCACAACCATACATCTATCTCTCTATCCAAGCTTTCACACATATACACATCTCTTCGCACACATCATATCATCAACCTTGTAACCTAATACAATAATTCCGCTGTTTGCCTCTAACACACAGTTCGAGGTGGACAATAAAGTCAACGAGTTTCTTTTTTTGTTGTTGGTTAAATTTCTAGACAAAATAAGACAAAACTACAGACATTTTCGGCTTGTCACCATTTCTTTCCTCACCAGTGTGTGTATGTATGTTGTGTTTGTGTGTCACATGTACATACGAACAGGTAGAGGACGCATAAATACAGTTAATAGACCAATAATAATAATTCATTATAGCAGAATTATACAAGTTTGTATATATGTGCATATTGTGAAATGAACGAGATATGTGGACAGGAAATGTAAGCAAACATTTTCATACATTTTTAAGTAGTATAAACAACAATATTCTCTGATATCGAAACAAATCATCCCCTTAAATCTGTCTGTGTGTGTATCTGCGTGTATGCGTGTGTGTATATGTGCGCGCGTTCGCGTAAAATCTATATATAAAGACTGTATACAATCACATAAACGTTTTATTGGCAAAATGAGGAGCTGAAAGTAATTTATTCAAATTTGTCATTTGCAAATTACTTCACGATTTGCAATCAAGATGGAATTTCACCACTGTTCCTTTTGGAAACTGAAATTATGATCTTTTTGACACTATAAATGATGATCAAGAAAGCCAGTGTAAATATATAATCGACTGGTTGATATGAGTGGATGGATATCACTCACTCACTCACTCACTCACTCACTCACTCACTCACTCACTCACTCACTCACTCACTCACTCACTCACTCACTCACTCACTCACTCACTCACTCACTCACTCACTCACTCACTCACTCACTCACTCACTCACTCACTCACTCACTCACTCACTCACTCACTCACTCACTCACTCACTCACTCACTCACTCACTCACTCACTCACTCACTCACTCACTCACTCACTCACTCACTCACTCATTCACACACTCACTCATTCACTCACTCACTCACTCATTGGACTGAGTCACTGCTGATGAGTCTGGCATCAAACTCGCGATCATTCCCGTCTGGGTAGCAAGTACTACCGGTTGATGTGAGTAGCATCCAACTTCTTATACCAACCAATCAGTAGGATATACCATAATAAAAATGATTCAACTTAATAATCCATGTTGTTAAATTAAGAATAAAATATTCAGCGAAGAGACTCTTTTCGACGAATTTTTTTACTGAGTTGTACAATAAAATAATTCATGAAATGTATAGACTTTGGAAATAGGGACAAAATCAATACAATTAATAAGCAAATGAAAACACTACGTAATACAGTGAGAATTTTAATAAGATAGAGTTTAACAGTACAGAATACATGGGACTAAAGTAATAACTGCTCAAAGAGAGAATAATCACAATAACATTGGGAATAATGAGGGGAAAGTAGACAGAGTGAAGAAACAAAACGAAAAATAAATAAATGTTCATCTCTCCTACCTCTTCTAAGGCTAAGGTACGAACTGTATTTACTGCCTTTCTACAGAGAGGTCTGGATTAAATCCATGAATAAGCAAGACTTCCATTATCTGTAGAAGTTTGGGACGAAGAAAACGCGACAAGTTGATATGAATTCAATGGATGATCTTAAAGACATTGTCAGGGTTGGTTGAGTGATATAAATCGATTAAGAATAGAGTTTCTCACATCTTTCTATTCTACCTCGTGCAACCAGGCTGGAATGTACTCTCATATCCGTATGGAAAGCATTATTTCTCTAAGGTATAGTGTACCTTGCTCCTCGAGGGCAGGTGAACTGATAGCTACACAAAGAAGTCCCCAGATGAAGGAGCTTATCATCTATATAAACGGAGAACAACTTCCACCTGATGAAGGTCAACTAGGATTCTTCTGGAAAGAACGCCTTACCGACTAATCTACTTACTTTTCGTTTTGTTTATTTACTCTATGCGCTTTCCAACAATTTTTCTTATTGTTATTATTATGATTTTCATACTGAACAGTGTCCGGTATTATTTCATTTGTCCCCTTTGTTATTTTAATTCACAAGAGATTGTTTGTAGGGATTTGATATGTTTCAAGTTTTGATTACCGATTGATATCAGTTATAGAATCAAGGAGTATTGGACCGCTGTTTGGTCCTGGTTCGGGACTCATCATCTGGAGGCAGACAGAGGGTTTCGAAACCAGGACCTTCCGGTTACAAGGCAAGCTCGTAGACCATTCAGCCATTGGGATCCGACTTAGTGGCCTATAATATATTTTTGCGATAATGAAATCTATCTTACTAAGCTTCTCATCTTGTTATACAATGTTTCCATTTGCCTACTAACCCTACCAATTCTAAACCCCTTCCAAAGCCTACATGTTATATGGACTACAATCTATTTTATCACTTAATACTGAACTATGATTATCATCACAAATATTTTACCACATCCCACAATATTAGTGTAGATATTCGCGCCTTTTTGTTTAAATTTTCTCACAGTATATACTTTCTTAAAAGTCATATGTGTGCAGTTGGACATCTTAGTAAAACAATCCTTTGTAAAGTGTATTTTTTTTAAAGAATGATCCGTCTATATGTATTACTAGTCAAAAGATGAATCTGTTATTGTCGATGCACTTCGACTGATTCTTTACCACCATAATTAAATTCCCCTCGATAAGTTCCTCTTCACTTATTTAAGGTATCCAATATCAGTAACTGAAACAGCCTTTTTGATAAGAATTACCAGAATTACTCTTGGAAAAGATATGACCGAATACTGCCAAAAAATTGTTATTATTATTATCCTTTGAGTTCCCAGTGGAACATAGAACTTCAACAATACGTCTGCTTTTCAGTTGGTTCTACGATCACCCATAAGCTTTCACTTCCTCCTCACATGGTCTCTTCCATGTCACCCTACCACTGAAAACTAACTCGCCGTTTTCTATTCAGGTTTCACTCGAGGGTCTGATACATGATATCACTCAACAGATCCCTTGGCTTATGTCCAGTCTACCTCCATTTCCTTCTACATTTTTGTTGGGAGTTAAGTTCTTGGTTGGCTTGCTGCTTGGGTCGCTTATTGCTTGCTGTTTTTGGTAATCTGATCTTAAGTGTGAAGCGAAGTCAGTTGTTGATGAAAGACCCACTACAGTCCTACAGGAGGTCAATCGCCAGCCCGAATAGCTCAGTGGTAACGTCTCTGACTGCAGCACTGGGTGACGCGGGTTTGAATCTCAGAAGGGACATGAGTTCCTTCAAGGTTGCAGATACGCCTTGGTGATGAGTGCCAACTAGCACGAAACCTAGGTCGAAGGCTTCCTGCCGATTGCCTCCAACTATCTAATATCATCAAGTCTGAAGACTGTTGAACTTTATAAACACTGAAGATAAGTAGACGTAATTCACCTGAGTCATGTAATGTATCTGATCAACACATTTCGAAAAATCTGATCACACATATACATGCTATATGAATTTATACGATTAAGAATTAAACGGTGAGAGAATGAACTAACAAAAATGTATGATCAGATGCAAATTCAGACTGAAGAATACAGGATTTTTCGTATGTTCCAAGGGTTTGAGAATAGATACATAGACTTAATGTTCTCTATTAGGAACAAACAAAACAGGAACCAATCGCCCAACAAATATGCAGGAGAAAGTGGAGATGGATTGGACACTCGCTGAGGAGGCCGTTGGGTGACATCGCGCGTCAGGCCCTCGAGTGGAACCCGAAAGGGAAGCGGCGAGTGGGACGTCGAATGGTGACATGGAGGAGATCGTGTGAAGAGGAGTTGAGACAGTATGGACTAACATGGATGCAAGTGAAAAGTACAGCAGAAGACAGAAGCAAGTGGAGACGTGCAGTTGAAGCCCTATGTTCCACTAGGAACCCAAGGGAACAATAATAATAATAATACAATGTTCTCCATTATGCACACATTAGCAGCATAAAAACTGTTTCTGATCGCAGTGTTCACTATTTGTTGTAAGTATAGAGCAATTATGACCGTGCATGCAATACTGCTTGACAAATACATCGCTTTTCTCTACAGGTCTTGATGATTGTGATCTACTGTGAGTAATTACTTTCAATCGGAGATTTTGTCAGTATTTTTTTTCCACCATCAAGTGTATTACCCGTGTATATTCGCTGAATCTTATTAAAGAAGCACCTCACCATAGCTCTTGTTTACTGTATGGCGTGTGCCACTGATAAGATTCGTCACTAGTTTACATAAAGAGATGTTCATCGGTATAAAAACATCAAATAACGGGGAGATAGATTTGATGTAAGAGAAAGCAAATGATTCAGCATTGCGGAGAAACGTGGGAGACATAAAAAGAACACAAAGAAACACAATATGAAGGCCAGAAGTACCAAAACACCAAGATCTGTGCAAATGGTGCGTTGAAGATAAGGTGTACATAATTTCGCTATATAGAGATATCAAATGTCAAATAAACATTCCTTAA